GACGATCCTGACCGGTTGTCTCTCAGCAGATAATGTGGAAGCAAAACTTTCTACGTGACCAAAACTGATCATTTAAGTTGCTGTGTGTATATTTCTGACCAAGCTGATCGTATTTGTGCATGATTGTTTTTGTGACAAATACGAAGGTGTTTCAGTGAATCCATCTGAGAAAATCCAGACTAATAGGAGTCATTGGAGAGTCAGGACTGCCCTGATATACAGGGTCCTTACAAGTGTATGTAGACTCTTGTTCACGACTACGTACGTATGAAGCCTTTGTGCTCCTGACTGAGCAGGTTGGCTGTGATGTGAATATTCAGAGATGCTGTCGACTTCACGACGCTGTCCTTGCTTCACAATGAGCTTCTTATCAAAGGAAAGTATGTGTGTTTTCAGATCACAGCAGAGGAGCTGACGGGGAACGACGACTACATCGAGCTCTCCTTCAGCGCCCGGAAGCTGGACGATAAGGTAGCAACATGAAACCCAAGTGAAAACTCCCTTTATCCAACTCTCTCATGGTTATAAATCTGATCCACTTGGAATACAACACGACAGACAGCTCGTGGATGAAGAGGCGACTGGTCTCATAAAACCACAGAGACGATGTTTTGTGTCCCTTTGCATCTGTTTGGGTGAACTGTGCATCTTTATTCACAGATTTGTGTCCTTCTGGTCATTTTGTGCAGTGAGAGGCCAAATGAGTCAGTTTTTAACTGTGCTGTTGTGTAGACGAAACCAGCACAAGACTGAAGTACAACAAACCAAAGAGATAAAGAGGAGTTTGCTTTCTGAAATCATTTTATCCATTTACGCCAGAGTTTGTCTGAACGTGACGATGCTCACCTCACCTCTGTGTAGATTTAAATCTTCCACAAACAACCAAAGCACGAAAACCTTGAAAGCGTTCTGCTGGTCCGACACTTATTGTGAAAACAGCATCAGAACATCATGATTTCACCAGTATGTGACCCCGTTATGTGCTTATTAACTATTAGTATTTTCTATCTGGCATTTGGAA